GGAGGAGCAGAGGCCACAGATCTTTGGGCTCCGGGGGGAGAGGGGGGGGAGCAATACCCGTACGCCGAAGACGACGGTTACGGCAGTTACCCGCAGGCGGGGGCGGGGGCGGGGGCGGGGGCGGGGGAACAGGAGTGGGTCGGGGACAACGGGGTGGCCGCCGCCGCCCCCGGGGGGGGAAGGATCAGCAGCAGCAAGTCCAGAGCGCGACGGCGGGGGGGCAAGAAGCGGGGGAGATCGGGGGGAGGGGGGAGCAGGGCCGGAGATGAGGACGATGGGTTTGATGAGGTGCGGAGAGAGAGGGCGGTTGGGCGGCGGTGGGTATGTGCAGTTCGAACTTACAGCAGGAGTCGGTTGGTTCGTTGTGGTGGAAATGTGGGTGTGTGCCCCCCCGCTCCCCTGAAATTGTGTGGGTTTAGCTGGCACACAGGTGGGGGGGGGGGGGGGTGATGTTCGAGAAGCGGACTTTACTTTGGAAATTGCGCGTTTTTTTGTTTGTGTGTCGTTGCCTCGCCTCCCAGCTCTCGTTTTTCTACTCCTTCGGCCTCGCGACGAAGTTGCGCTGAAAAAGAGAGAGGCACACATCGTACTTTTCGAGGCGTCTCAAGCGACTTTTTCTGCCAGTCCAGCAAGCAGTATGTACGCGCACGCAGTTGTATTGGTACGCTAAAGGTGTCTGTCTTTCGGCGCACGGCTTTTCTTCGTCGGGTTTTGCCACACGCACATGTACCGATCTTCGACGCCCCCCCACCCCCACCCCTACCCGCCCAAGAGAGCGAGCACCGCCGCGTCTTGAGACCAGCCGCTCGTTTGTTTTCCCCATTCCCCGTGGTGACATGGCCTTCTGTCTCGTCTCCCTTTTCTTGTTCCTTCCTTGCTTCCTTGCTTGCTTGTTTCACAGGAGGATGGGGTTGGTAGGGGAGACCTCGTGCAGGAGTACACGCAGTCCCTCAAGGGAAGGCTGGTGCTGTCCGGGGGAGCTTCCGTGGCCGGTGCAGCGCTCGGAGCTATGATCAGCAAGGTGGGGTCGGGGGAATGGTTCGTTGTTGTGCGGACGAGCCTCACCGTTGCATGCACGCACACATGTACACCTTCCGCTGATGTTGAACGGTGTATGTACTCAGGAGTAGCCTTTCTTGGTAACCTCGCTTCGGTTTGCAGTGCTTCAAGCGGCCATGTCGTACGATGTTTTCCCAGCATCTCAGCGTACTCACACCCACGTGTACTTCCGGTGTTTTATGATGGAATCGTGGCCAATTTAATAGACACCGTTCTTACGAAGCCCCGCCCACCCCCCCGATTATCGCCTTTCGTTTACTACATGCGACTTCAAGGAACAGCTTCTATCTGGAACCGTTTCTGGAACCCCCCCCCCC